AACCCGACTTTACTGTGCAGTAGTACCAGTGAATACCGTTTTTATGATGCTACTGTGCAGTAGCCTAATACTATTGTGCAGTCAGAATCTTGTGTAGACACGCCCACGGAGTGCCTGGCTGCAGTTTAGGAGTGGATGCAAACTGAGGCTAAATCCAGACAAAACAATAGTGGTGGCAAACTCCATGACTTGAGGGCAATAGGAGCATCCATCACTGATGAGATTCAGCCTCCCTCTGTCACTCAGATTAACAACCTATGGCTCCTGGACCTTCAGGTTGCAGCAGTGGCTAGGAGCACTTCTCGCCAACTACATGTAGTGACAAGACTTTTTCATTTTTGCATCTGGCCATCATCCATTTCTTTGTAGCCTCAAGGCTAGACTACTGCAATGTACTCTAGGTGAGGCTGTCGTCAATGATCATCTGGAAGCTGAAGCTTGTGCAGAATGCAGCAACCAGCCTTCTGATGGAGGCGGGCCACCACAGGCCCATTGCTCCAGTACTCCAAGGTCTGCATTGGCTTCCAGTAGTTTTCTGGACAGTTTTAAGCAGTGGCATTGACCTATAAGTAAGGACCTACCTAAATCATGTTAGAAGTGCGCTGCGCAGCTGCTCCTTTACTCTTGTTCTTTTTGCCACATACCCCCCTGCCTCTGGTTGGTGGAGGGGCCCTGGCAGCCCCACTGCTTGCTGCTGATCAGCCAGAAGGCAAAAACTGCAGTATATTTAAAACCATGGTTTTTGCCTCCCAGCCAATCAGCAACAAGCAGCAGAGCCATTGGGCCCCTCCACCAATCAGCGGTGGGGGGAGGTGGGGGAGGTCCAGCAAAAGAGCAAGATTAAAGGAGTCACTGTACAGCACACTTCTGCTGCGATTTAGGTAGGTCCCTACCTGGCGTATCATTTGGGAAATTTTTTTCTATATGTTATTGCTAACTGCATTGATAAATTATTTTGCCTTTTAGTGTAAACTACCCTTGAGCCTTTCTTTGGGACAGGCAACATGAAACACTGATATTTCATGTAATGAAATATTATTAACAAGCAAGCCACAGGACACAGCCATAATTAAAGCCCTTTAATACTTGGTGCTATACAAGTTATTTCTGACTCCCCGTGCCTAAGCAGTGGTCATGGGTCCAGGTCTCTTCTCAATTAAGTCTATGAAAGTTTTGCTCTGGGTTTTAATAAGGACACAAATGGTTCTCAGACTTTCAAGAGCTAGCTCCAAATATCTTACCCCTTAGAAGAGCTGTTACAGTCGATGTGTACTACTTTTGCTGCAGTACAAACTGATGTATTTGGGCCATTATGAGTCAGACATCAGTTCTTTGGTTAACACAAAGTAATCAATTTGTTCTTTTTTTAAAGAGATGTAGAACACTGGAGGGAACGTGGAAATAAGGTGGCAACCTACATTTCAAGGAAATGAAGTCCAACCATTCAAAAATAAATCTCACTTAGGTACCTGAATGATCCCACTTGTCACCCTGGATATTGTATTGGAGCCAATGGAAGAATACAGCTTACATTGAAGGAAGTAATACAGCTTATTCTGAAGACAAGTGCAAAATACAAAAGCCTCTTTATATTCCTGTAAGATTACTACTGAAAACATATTTATCTGATCAAATGCTTCTCAATACCTCTTTACTGTACATATACATATAAGTTACAGGACATTTTCCACTAAATAGAGGATGCTCCAAAATACAGGATAAGTGGTCATTCTTATTGGGAATGTTGCGCTGAATTTTAAATAACTTTCTTATGCAAGTTCATATTTTCATAACCAAATTACAACACTAAAAACTATAGGCTATCTACCTGTGTAGTACCCAGTGGCAGCAACTGCAGATTTAAGTGTGCTCAAATGCCACTCAATTCTTTCTTAATTCCAGACAGTATTTGTTAGTTTAAAAAAGTAGACGTAATGTAGAAATCATATTAGATTAAATGTCAGTCCTCAATAGATGAGCTACACCTCCTATTGATTTAGTAAAAATATAGAACTAAGGACGTGGTACAAACAAACCCTACAAAATGCTTTTCCATTGTAAATGTTTTATGAAATCATTTTTTTTCTCTTCACTTCAGTCCTACACAGCTTATACACACCTTGATCCCAATAAAAATCAGTGGAGGCTAAATTGCTAAATTCCTTGGCATATTTTGGAAGTGTACTCCAATTGACAGAAAGAACCCGCCATCTCACTGTATCTAAACTTCCAACATCTCTAAGAAGAGGGCAGAGGGAGCCTGGCAGCAATTCGTCTTCAAGTTGTCAGCCATATCTATAGATCCCAACAGCTCCTCACTCCTCAAATTTATTATTGGATTATAGAGACCAGAGAACAGGGTCTGAGAAGAAATACAGGTATTGTGAAAGTGTGAGCAACAAAAGAAAAATCACAGCTTACAGTCTTTTATTAAAAACAGAAAAAAAAAGGGGTTTCTAGAACTTTGCTCCCTTGCCCTACTGTTGCCAAGCATGCTATTCATAATCAGGATTGTGGTTAAGTGCTATTGAAACATCAGTCGTTTTTCCATGCTAGAACATAAGTGTGGAAGTCGAACAGACACTACGGAACACTTATTTTTCTGTAAGAGCTCTTAATTTCACATGAGCCCCAGAATGGTTTACATCTGAATGGCCACAGGGCGTGTTCCCAAAGAAATAGCATTGATTTTCAACAGTGCGACTATGAAAGGCAAAGTCACTTGGCAAAGAAAGATTGCTACCATAGATCTAAAAAAAATAAGTTGTTGTCCTAAGAGATGGCTTATACTACAGATTAGCTATGAAGTAGAGAAGGCTATCCTGTCACAGCAATGACAACACGCTGTTAAGCCAACAACTGTTTATTTGAACTTGATCCCTTCACAAGGGAATGAAAACAATGACAACGCGGGTTACAACTTCCAAAAGGAAGTCCTAAATGATGGCACAGTAACAAAGGCGCTGTAGAGACAGGTGTACTTCAGGACTTTATTAGTGTTATTGCTCAAAGTCTGTTCCCCAAAAGTGGATGCAGGGGATACTTTGATGCTGGAAGGCTGGCCAAGATCTAACCAAAGCTGGCAGATATAATTGTTGCCCTTCTTTCAGGATAATGTAATCAAGGTATTTAAAAGATCCAGAGGGCTGAAATAATAGGAGTCACCACTTAAAGCCCAGACGCATGTCATGGCTTGAACATAAGCTGAGCCATGTGGCCCAGGGGGGTTCTCTGGAGAGTGACAGATAGCAAACCAGACTAGGGCATTGATTGGTGGAGCTCTGTCCCTCTATATACAGAGAAAGAGAGAGAGAGAGAGAGAAGACAAAGACATAAAGAAGTAAAGAAGCCTCAAACAAGGCCAGACAGACCTGGTAGCAAAACCTTGAAGAGGAAAAAAAATAAAGAGGCCGAGAACGCACTGCTGGGGGGAAAGTACTGTTTGAAAGAACCTTGGACCCATCAGCCACACAATTGGGACTTCTGCTGTGTTTAGGACATCAGACCTTTCAATCTTGTTTATTAGCAAATAATGTGCATCACATATTATCAACTCCAGCATCAATTTCTCCACCTAAGGGAAACAACCTAAAACTGCTAATGGATTGGATCAAAAAGAGTCAGTGTAGCAGGATGCCTGGTCTGAGAAGGGATGATTGATGAGGTTTTTTGTTCTTGTTCTCGTGATGGATAGGAGCTTTGGGATTGAGTATATAATGTGACATCTTTGGGTCTTTTGACCAAAGAAGAAAATTAAGGGTGGGATGGGGGAAGGCAGGAAATCATGGCTTTTATAATCTTTTATAGGGCCGGGGATTGTAGACAGTGAGCCATATTCAGCAGCAGACAGGTTGGATATATTTATGAGAAGTTATTCTTATTTGTGGAACTTCCTTGAATAGCCTCATTTTTAAATGTTTGTTTATTGAATAACCACACTATTATAATCTTTTGAAGTAATGGATATTGCTTGATTTATAACTTTAATTTAATCTTAATGGGTTTAATGAGATTCTCAGCCAAACAGCCCTCAGTGACTCAACTTTGAATATTTCTTATTCCTAGCAGTAGGAAAGATTATTTTATTAGGCGGGAGAAATATGAACCCAAGCGATTCTTCATCAGCCACAAATACCATCTTCTGTCCTCCTTAATTGGAGTGAAGATGATAAATCAGCACATAAACACTAGCCTACCAAATTCATATCTAATGCTGCAGAGCGACTATCCGTTTACTGCAAGCTCCAGTAAATTAAAGCATAGGGACTTAGCAGCATTTTACTACCAACTGTGAGCTCTATAGAGCCAGAAAGTCTCTTTCCTTGCACACACTGATGGTAATCAAGACTAATTTCAAAATCAATGGAGTTACATCAGTGTAAAATGGAGACAATGCAGAGTCCAGCCCAGGTCTACACTGCCCCAGGTGTAGCACTGACCACACTCCTCAAACCTCCTCCCATGCACAGGTCATGTCTGGGGGGCTCCTTGGGGGACAGCCCCTCTGGGTGCTCTACAGCCTGGGTCAAGGAGCTGGTGACAACGTTGCTGGGGCACTGGGCGAGGCCGAAGTCACAGGCGCCTGGATCAGCCCCAGTTGATCTCTCCCCAAGTAACCAGACCTGCTCCCTTGATCTGGCCCCAGAGGGTCCTGCACCCACTAAGTATTAGTGCCAGGTTTATTTCCTCCTCCGCTGTGCCCCACTTCTCCCCACGTCCACCCGCACCAGGCACTGCCCGGGGGGCAAAGAGCACCCTCTCTCCCTGCTGTCAGCTCCCTGGTCCATCAGCTGCCGGCCTCGCAGCAAACACCCTCTCACCGCCCCCATGCAAAAGGAACCTTGGTACCCCCCGCCTTTCTATTAGAAATGGATTTTTTTTATCAGAAATTGTATTTCTATCAGAATCGAATGGCCACAGGCCCCACTGGTAAAATCATCTCCTGCCCTCAGCGGCTCCACCTGCACGGCCAATGGGCCACGGGCCTTCCCCCGCTGGCAGCGGACATACGGGTCACTTGCCTCGCGCCAGCCCAGCACGGGCTCCCCCGCCCTGCGACATAGTTCGTTCTGCTCCCCCCTTCCTTCACTTGGTACGGCCCGCGCTGGCTGCAACGGAACACCCGGACGCCCCGGGTCCGGCGCAGACGACACTCCCTCGCCCCTCCCGCGAGAGTTCGAGGCCGCCGGTCAGGCGCTGGTAGGGGGCGAGGGGGAGAGTACGTCACTGCTGCGGGGGGGCGGGGTCGGTAATTCCCTGCATTACGTCACGACGTTCTAGCGCAGAGGACTTAGGGAACAGCCATGGCCCGGGGAAGAGGGGCTGTACCATTCCGCTCACCAGCGGGGGAGATGCAGACAGACGGGGTAACCTGCTACAGCAGGGTGCCGTGTCCCTGCCTGCTGTCGCCAGGGGCGCTGTTGGGCTCTTGTTTGTACTAAGCAAAGGGCTGCCCGGGTGCGGAGGGACTAGGGGTGTTAAGGCCGCTCATGTGCACCAGCTGCACTGGGCAAGGGGTCACTTGGGGGTGGGCACCAGGATTTTGGCCCCCTGGACAGCTGCCCCTATGGGTACACCAGCCCTGGCTGACTTCTGCTGTGGAGTCAAGCAAGGTGGGAGGGCTATGCCTTGGGCGTCCCCTTGGTTTTTCCTATGCATTAAATAGGCTGCCAGGTCCTTGGTCCTGCCCTCAAGGACCTCAGGGGTGTAGGAGGAGCATGCAGGTGCACCAGCCTTTGTCTTTTAGGGCCCTGCAACACGTTCGCTTGAAGGTTGAATGCTTCCCCAGCAGGAGAGACACCCCTCTTCTCAGCCTTGAATGCCTCAGGGTAGTTAGAGGGTGAAGGCTTGTCCCCTTTGCACGGTGGGCAGGCTGACCCCTGTCAGAGTCTACAAATGCCTCCAAATGCCAGGATCTCAGCTATACACTTGATGGTGATGGGGGATTAATCTCAGGCTTTCCGGCTACCTTGTTCCTTCTGCCTTTTGGCAAAGGGCAAGCAAGACTTGGGGGTGTCTAACTGCAAGGCCTCTTTGCCCATAGGATGCCTGCCATGGATTTGGGAGTATCTGAAGCCCTAGGCTGAAGTGTCTGGGAGGCAGAATATTTCCTGGCTCTGCTCAGTCAATTGGATTCAGAACCGAGTTGGCCCAGGAAACGAAGTTTCAAAAAAAGCTGGATAGAAACCAGCTACAGAGTTGTTGTACATCTTTCAGCACTAACTTGGTAGTGGGTTGGCTCTTTTTATAGCTGAATAGTCATTTTTATGATGTGATAATTATTTCACAGATGTGGCTGGATTACACTTATTACAGGATTCACCAGTTAATTATGCGATAAGTACTTGGGTGTAGGTTGTAGCAGTGTTGGTCTAAGGACATAGGCGGACAAGGTTCTTTGGGTAAATCTGATATCTTTTATTAGACCAACTTAAATAGTTGGAAAAAAATTATCTTAGCAACTTTTCAGATTTAAAAATCCTTCAGCCTGACGGAGGGTTTTTAAACCTGAAAGCTTGCTAAGAAAATGTTTTCCAATCATTTAAGTTGGTCTAATAAAAGATATTAGATTCACCCAAAGAACCTTGTCTGCCTGTGATGATTACTTTGCACTTGTGGGCCAACTCAGTTTATTGCACAACTGACCATTTAATCGTGTAATATGCGTATTGTGTAGCAGGGGCCTTACTAATGTGTCCTGCACCTTTGTTTTTATTTTTAGGCTGGGATGTTTAGTTTGTGACAAACAGGCGGCAGAACAACAGAAGCTGAGTTAGGTAAGTAAACTCTGCTTTAGTACAAAGGGAGACGTGTGTTCAAGTCTGCTCTAGAACACAGGAAGGAGGCCGGCGTAGCAGAGTTCATCAGTCTTTTCACAGGCTAGCCGTAGATAAATATTACTTTTTCTTAGGCCCATTGTATTACCTATACATATTAAAAAGGTATAAATTATGTTTATGCATATATCATTCTAAGAGCAGTACCATTTTGCGTAGCATCCTATAAAAACAGGACTAGAATGGACCCTTCAGTGATCATCTAATTCAGCCTTTTGCTCAAAGCATTTATCTGTGACAGTCATATTTGTCTAACCTGCACTTTAAATACCTGTAGGCCAACCCACTGTGGCAGAAAAAAGAAGAAAAAAAGGACGGGGCCGGGGGGGTGCTGGATTTCAAATTTCTGGATTTCTGATTTCAAATGAAATCAGAAGGCGAGTGCTCCAGGCTGTAAATTAATGGTTCTCAACCTTTGATTCAAGACATCTCTTGTTAGATTCAAGCCCCAACTGCATAACTTTTGTGAATTGAATGGCACCCTATTAAAAAAAGTTGATTACAGCATTTACCTGCTTGCAGAGGGACCAGGCAGGGACAGCACAAGCCTATCCTTATTTGCTTATGTCCTCACACTTTCTGCAACACCCTTCAAAGGGTCTTATAAACCCTGGTTGAGAATCGCTGCACTAATCAACAGAACTTCAGTTGGTACAGCTAGATCCAAATGAATGTGTAGTCTACTGCCTTAGCCACTCAGCCATAACTACTGAATAGAGCTGGTAAGTTTCTGCCCACTTTCTAACCAGGGACCTTTCACATGGTAGGCAAACTTAACAATCACTACACAAACTGCCAAATTTACATATACATCATCCTATAGGCCTCATAATGCCTGTGTATTCATTTCACAGTACTCTGTTTACAGTCTCTTATAGGCATATATTTGGCAAGATTAAAAATACTGCAGTGCAGTATGCTGTAGAAGATGTTAGACTTGAAATTTTTAATTTAAAAAGAAATAAGATATATAAAACAATATACATCTTGATACACTCCTTGAATATCATCGTGCACTAAGTCACAGGCCAGGTGAATTAATTGTCAGACATGTTCCTGATAGTGAACTGGACCATTGTCTAATAAATATTAAGAAAAGAAGATACAGTAAGAAGGAACAACAGTCCAGCATCAGTTTTATAAAAGCACGAGAACTTTGTGGAAAACTCTGAATACAGGCTATTCTGTATTATTTTTCAAGGACTTAATTATTTTGGGGGAAAGAAAGGAAGCAGGGGAGAATCACACAATGTAATATTGCCATCGACAGGCTTTGTAATGTAACTTTTTTCATACCATATTGTGGCTTTTAAACACTCATTGTAGTGGGACACCACCAGCATTGTCTATTCATTTAGAAAGAAAAAAAAATGTTAAAATTCGTTTTTTATATTGCAAGTGCCCCCAAGTACCCAAGCCAAAATTTATGGTTGAACAAGTCACATTTTTTCTACTTTTAAAAATACATTTCTCTCTTCTGGTTTTCCATAAAAGACCATCAGTAACAAGAAAAACTGACTCTGTACAGGCTATCAACAGGACAATTAAGTTAGTGGTCCCTTTTATAGAAGCAGCACTTTCTATGTAAATTGCTTATGGACCAACAAAAAGGTAGCACTTACCAGGTCAGAGTTCAACCAGGCCACAGGTCAGTCCTTGGAATTTTGCCTAAAATGTATTACTGGGCAAATATTCAAGATTAAGGTACTTTGAAGTGAATTCATTACTAAAATAGGGCCTAGTTTAATGTCCTTCCACAACCGGTTTAAGCTGAAACTAAAAGCTGAGGTCATTTTACTAGTACATATTTTCACAGTCCTCATGACCGTCATTTCGAAGCAGCTTTAGTAGTACTTGATTTCACAGCAGCTGCCATCTGAGGCTGTCAAGCAGCTTTACACACTTTAATGAATTAGACTGATTTCTAGATGCGGTTGTTTACTTGCTATGAGGAGGTTGTTAAGCTTGGTAGGAATATGCATAGTGTGTATGGAGTTAAACAGTGTAACTCTTTACCTTGTCAGGACCTTAGGTCTATACCCTCACCAAACAATTCCTGTATCTTGAGAGAGAGAAAAGAAAGCACTGGAAAATTAAGCAACTTTCCTAAGATTATACAGCCAGACTTTGACAAACCTAGAAACTGACTCAAATAGCCTGATGCCTTGTTCTGTGCTACAGTGCTGCCTAAGATTTTGAAGTAATTGAGATCAGATGGCAAATCCAAAATTATGAGTTTAGCAAGTTAATACAGTAGTTGGACTGTGAAGTAGAAAGCTAAAAGAATATTAAAAAAACCCAAAATTACTAGAATAATTGCTGTATAGAAGTATCTTCTTGTACGGAGTAAATTTACATGAAGTATATTATTTTTAACTGATTAAAAATTCTGCTTAAATCTAGCAGAAAGAGACATAATAAGACCCAGTATTTGGAAGATGTAACTAAACAAAGAATAAGGAGCAAGATTTTAAACAGAAAATTTTAATCTTTGGAATAAATAGAAATTTGATAGAGAATCTACCATGTGAAATTTCAGGTAAAGAGCAGCTATTTCCTAAAAAGGCACACTATAGTTCAAACAAAAATTAAGGACTTGTCACAGGTATTAGGAGGAGATTGTCTGTGCTATGCAAGACACCAGACGAGGTGAGCATAATGATCTTTTCTGTATTTAATATCTAAAAAAAACAAAACAATCAGGATTTCCTGTCCCCTCCCTGATGTGTACAAGGCTTTTTTTAGTAAGTGAGAAACTGGAGTGGGAACAGTAAAAGCAGCTGTGTACAAAGTGATCCAATCCACAAACTAAACAAACTGAAGAAGTGATTCTGCTTTTCTGCTTACTTTCATTTACAATATCTTAGGCATATCACTTGCAACAATAGCTGACACAATTTTCTCACACAGTTTTCAAGTTTGCTCTGTCCCAGCTTTTCCCTGAGCTTGTAAAGGGTTGTGATAAAAAGCTGCAAATTAAGACAATTAAAATATGCTGAATAGTGTCCTTTTGGCTCAGATCAAGTACAGATCTCTGGTCTCCCCTCTTTCACCTCAGCACATATTTGTATTTTAAAACCAGTTAAATATGAATGGTAACACTAATTATCCAAAGCCATATTCTGACTGGTTGGTTGGGGTTGGCACAGCTGTGTTGCAGTACCACATGAGGCACAGCTAGAACTGATTGATTTACGCAAAGAAATGTCTGCCCCCATTATGTACTGTTGGTAAGGCGGAAATTAATTAGAGAGAAAGATAAGGCACCTGTGGGGGTGGGAGGTGAAGAAAAGTCCTTATTTAAACACGGAGTGAAGGCTTGAAACAGGAGTCATAGCTTAATTACTTCCTCTCCCAAAATGCCAAGCTGCTGATTTGACTACCTTTAACCCATTTGGCTAGTGTAAAAAACAAGCTGTGTAATAATTCAGGCTTTTTTTCATCTTATTATATTAAAGGAGTGAGTTCAAACCGGTAGTTAGGATATAAGCTGCTGTTGAAAGAGCAGCAGGGTTTCTGAGAGGCAGGAAAGGACAGGTGGGAATTCAAATAATCCCTGACAACTTCAGAAAAGTACAAGGGTAAAAAGTTAAACAAATACATTAAAAAAATCACTGAGGAAAAAGTATTGAAATGTTATCCCTTCCTGTTTCATCCTCTTAGAACTGTTTTTAAGAAAGGAGCTACATTATGAGATGCTTCTGATTCTGCATTTCATATATGAATCTTGGAGCACACCAAAGACTGTCACAACTCCCCTGTTGATACCCAACCTGCTGGGGCCCATTCACGTATTAACTACCTGACAGCTGCTACACATACTGCTCCGTGTTCCAGCTATATCACTTTTGCAGGTCATTGTTTCAGTGAAGGATTCATCAGGAAATTGGCATTTCAGAAACTGTCTCAAATTTGTTTCACTTCATCTTGGAAGCTGAATTTTCTGCTAAGTGAAAAGATTTCTGTTGGGAATAATCAGTCCTTCCAGATTTAAATACGATAGTTTTTGACCATACCAATCTTCCACCCCACCCAACTAACATGATCTATTTTCTGTTTTCTTACAGTGATTTTTGCTTAGAGTGTAGTGCCCCAAAATGCTGAGAGGAATTCCTCAGGGTGCCAGAGACTTGTTTACACTTTTGCTGGCTAGATCTCAGCACTGCAGCCCACGACTGACACTGTGGAATGAAGAATGGCATAGATGCTTTTTACCACACTTCAGTTATACAACTGATATAAGATCAAAAGAAGAAAACAAGAAAACTGTGGAGAATCTGAGTAGCTTATCAGTTGATATCAAGAAGATTCGCAGGCTAAAAGAATGGGTCCTTTTTCAGGATGTGACGTATGTTAAAGAAATTGCTAGTATTTTACAAGAAATGGGTGCTGATGACGCTACCATAGCCAATGTTTTGGAACGGTGTCCTGAGGCAATTCTCTGTAGGCCAGTAGAGGTAAATTCACAAAGAGATCTGTGGCATTCAGTATGGCAAAATGAAAAGCAGCTGGTAAAATTAATAGAACAATTTCCAGAATCCTTTTTTACTGTTGAACACCACGCGAACCAGAAAGCTAACATTCAGTTCTTTCAAGAGTTAGGACTCAAGAAAAATATAATTGGCAGACTCTTGACAAGTGCACCCTCTATTTTTCATAGGCCTGTTGAGAAAAACAACCATATGATAGAGACGTTACAAAGAAGTTATCTGCATTTAGGCGGTTCTGATGCCAACCTGAAGGTCTGGCTACTGAAATTATTAAGCCAAAATCCATTTGTTTTGTTAAATACCTCTGCAGCTGTCCAAGAAAACCTGGAATTTCTCCAGAAGAAAGATTTCACGGACACTGAAGTTTTACAACTGCTGTCTAAGCTTAAAGGGTTTCTATTTCAACTTACCCCTAACACTATGGAAAAGAGCATTTCTTTCTCCAAAAATGTTTTTAAATGTAGTGATCAAGAACTAAAACAGCTTGTGTTAAAATGCCCTGCCTTTCTCTCTTATTCTGTTCCAGTTTTAGAAGAAAGACTTGAGGGATTGTTGAAGGAAGGAATTTCTGTAGATCAAATTAGAGACACACCAGCAGTGCTAGAGCTGACAACACAAATTGTTCAATACAGAATTAAAAAACTTGGTGCTTTAGGATATGATATCAGAAATGGAAATCTAGAACACTTGAATGGTACCAAGAAAGATTTTGAAGTTACTTACAGTAAGATACAACTGAAGAGAGAGAGACCAATGTTTAATCCTGTTGCTCCTTTAAATATTGAAGAGTAATTCATGCGTGCCGCCTTTTCAGTTATGCAAAAGAAAATCATCTGGAAAGAGAGAGATCTTGATCCTTCCTTAAAAACCAAAAACACAAATAACTGTAGCCAACTTTAATTCGGTGACATGAAGATGTACAGGAGGTGGCTTTGATTCACAGCTCAGTACTAGTTTTCAAACCACCGGGTAAAAAATGACCATATTGAATATTAGCTTGCTACCCTATACATATTAAAGACCAGCTTTTTAGTATTTGTCCTAAGCATAGCCCATTTTTTTTAAAATTTCCCGTAGCTAACTGAAGATCAACTTTCCTGGCTTTTTTTCTATTGGCCTTGCGCTATCCAGTCTATGATAATGCTGAAAGCAATTATACAAATCACTAGAGCAGTGATTATCAACTAGGCTGCCATGGCACCCTGGGGTGCCATGAGATCCTGTCAAGAGTGTCACAGGGCTCTATGCAATGTTAGCAGTGTTAGGCTGACAAACATGATTTACAAGATAAACCCAGACATTTCAAATAGAAATCCAGAGTGGTAGTCTTTCTGGGATCTTTCCAACAAAAAAACTGCTCTATTTTTTCAGTAGCAAAAAAAGTGTGTGAAAAATAAGAGCTGGCGCTTTCCAAGGGGTGCCTTGAATCTAAAAAGGTTGAACACCACTGCACTAGAGGATGGCAGTGGCCTGCATTTTCAATACTATTTGTCAGCCAAGTAGTAAATAAAAGGCTTTGAGAAAAGTCAAGTAACTACCACTGCATTAAAGGAACCACTAGAGCCTGAGTGCAAACTGAAGTTGGCAGACTGCCAGAGTAACGGGTACATAGCTGGAGGGGACACTAAGAGGAAGGGCAAAGACTATTTTTATACAGACTTTTACAATGGGTACTTATTTGACTTGATTAGGTATTTAATATTGTGATAAACAGCAAATGCTACTAGAGCAGCGATGTGCAACCTTTTTAGATTCAAGGCTTGGAAAGTGTCAGTTCTTAGCTTTCACTCAGTTAACTACAGAAAAATGGTACAGCAATTCTTGTATTGCAGAATGCTCAGAAAGACCACAAGAAGTCAGAGTATTTTTCATACTATGGATTCCTATTTGAAATCTCTAGTTTTATCTTGTGACTCACCTGTAGGTATTTGCACACTTAACAGTGCTAAAATTGTGTGGCACCCCACAGCACCCTTTAAAGATTGTAACAGCACTTCATGGTGCTCACAGCATCCTTCTTGAGGATCACTCAGCTAGGGGGTCTCTCGAGATTCTGGGACTTCCAGCTTGCTAGAGATCTCTTTTTCTCTCTCCCTCCCTCCCTCCCTATCCCCCTCTCCTCTCCTCCCCACCTCTCTCTCTTCTCTTGTCCCTCTCCTCCTCTCTTCTCCTCTATCCCTCTCCTCATTCCCCTTGGCTCCTCTCAAATTCTCTCCTTTCCCTGGTTGAGTTGGAAGGAGAACAGTATTACAAAGGGAATCAGCTATGACAAAGACTTCTGTCTTGCAAAGAACAAAAAACGAAGCCCAAGAAGGAGAACCTGGCCTTGAATTTTTCTTCATCGCAGTTACTGCAGCATGTGCCTTTGTAAACAAGTTAAAACTAAAACAAGATCTGTTAGGCTAGGTACAGGCATTTACACTTTTATTGGTATAAGTGATCAGAAACTGGTCTATACATATAACAGAACAGAAGTTCAGCACATACAGACTGGTTTAAAAAGGGTGGAACCCAGTTTAAGATTTGCCCTTCCCCAGCCCCAGCTTCCCACCGAAGGCCAATGTGTGTTCTGTTCAGGGCTGATCTAAGCTATGCCACTTACAGAAAACTGTTTAATTTGATTCTACCTCAGGCTTTTTCCATTTCTGTACCTAGCCTTACAGACAATAATGACAGCTGTTTTCTAAATATATGGAAAAATTGGTGCATTATGTACTACATTCACATAAACTGTTGACAGATATTGGCCTTTTAATAGCAACCACTAGGGAGAGTTGTTGAAGGATGTTTTCCTTTACAAGCTGTAAAAGCAGTGATATACAACACACCAAACAAACTATTAAAGGTTTTCTGAGATTACAGCTGTCAGTGGTTTGTTCTATAAAAGTATTCAACAAGCTAATGGTCTATATGTATTCTTCTGCACCAGGAGAACATTTTGAAAGGTTTACTATGGCTGAGAACCTTAGTATTGGATTAGTTACACTAAAACCCTTCTTTTTTTAGGAACACTTTTGCATATGTGCTTTCTTTCATAAAATGTTTAATCATGAATGTGTGTCCCCAGCAGCTGGGGGGTGGGGCATGGTAAGCCTCTGCAGATGCCCCCAGCAGTGTTGGGGGAGGGGAGGTGGAAGCAGCAACCACCTGCAGACGCTGCTGGCAGTGTCAGCAGTGGGGGAGGGAGGGGGGGCGGCAAGTGGCAACTGGCCGCAGGCACCACCAACAGTACCCCCCCTACATAGCACCAACGTGTTTAAGTCCTTTTTTACAGTCTGACTAAACTGCCAGAAATTAATATGGTGTTCTGATTTAGTTGCATCTCCCAGGACTCGTGGGAGAAGGGGGAATTCCTCTGCTACAGAATGCAAAAGTGCTTTTTCCCTAGACATAAGGGGACATTTCAGATATGAACAGGGACAGCTATCATTTGTAATACAATGGGTAGTGTATCAGGAACAGACAGGTTGTTAGTCATAGAGTAAAAGGGGACCTAGAGGCAGAGGAGGAAGGGACTCTTTTGCTGGAGGTTAAATTAAGCTGTAGTTATTTCCTATTCATGTACTAATGGAAGAGCAGAAGCCTGCTAACTTGAGCCAAGACAAGGTTTGTTCAGTTAGCTTGAAATGACTTCATGTAATTCAGTACAACTGGAGTCCTTTACTGTTCAAAAATTATTTGACAGTGCCACCAGAAATTTTATGTTCAAGGGTTTTTTTTCTTTGAGCAGTTTGAATAAATTTGGGTTTAAGGTATTTATAATATATCTGAGAATTTTCTTCTCGTTGCCTTTTCCATGATTTGCTTAAATGAGTACGCATAGCATCCAATTAGCCGTTCAGCATGAAAACAGTCTGTTGCAAGTTCAGACTGACACACAAATGCTTCTGCGTCAACATTTTTACAGTATTTTACTTTTGAAAGTCAGCCTGATACCTGCCTCTTAGCAAGGACCAGCCACTATCATGTTGGCTTAAAAATTTTGTTTAAAAAGGATCTTTATGTGGAATCCCAGTGCTAGATCCAAAGTATAACATAACACTTTCCCGATTGTCCAGCACAATTCAAACAAAGATTATAGTAAAATATTTTCATAAAGACTCCATATAGTGAGCCAATAATATTACTTTTTTTTACTTAATGTCAGTGATAGACTGGATTACACGTTTGCTACTGCTGCAAAAGTGTGACAACTTTTACTATCCATTAGATAGCAGTCTAAAAAAAACCCACACTCTTTAGAAGTATTCATTTCTACAGCATGCTCTATATGCACTTTAGCTTTCACTGTTACAGGACCTTCATCAGAAAAAAAGGCTGTCCAGAAAGATACCTGACTTTCCTTAATCCAATAATATTGCTATCATGATCCTGAAGACAGACCTGAGGAGATCAAGTCAGGGAAAGAAAAGGACTGCTATCAGACTGTAAAGTTACCCAGAGTGATCAAATGGAGATTTGCTTTAAAAGCACTCTGTTTAGGAGCTTATTTAGATGTTTCACACAGGGCTGTATTTTGTTTGTGCTCAATTCTCCAAAACTAAAAATAGTGGGGAGCAAGTTGTAACACAGACCTGATAGAGGTTTTTATTCTTATAGCCCTTCCATAGGTTGCTGAGAAACAAATGAAAGTGTTCAGTGACCTCTTTGGATCCCATCTAGAGATAGACCTTTTGCTTCCAGGTTAGCAGAAGCTGGTACCAGTTGGGATTCTAGGGCTGAGTAGGATACTTTGATCTAACTAGGATGAATGCAGGCTCCATAGATGCCATCTGTACAGGGTATTATCACTTGCAAGGAGGTATACTTTTCAGTCATACTCCATGAGTTACTTCAGTTTTTCTAATGCTTTCAAATCCTACTTTTGTCTCCTTTCCAAGGAGAAGTGTATAGATTTGTTATTTTTAGAAGGGGGACATCATTTCACTACTACCCATACAGGTTAGTATGTAGCTCCCTCCCTGAAACTCAGTTACATACCAACCGTTGCAACTGCCTCGAGAGGCCGAGCTGAAGAATCTCTCCCCCCACAAAATCAGACTCAGCCGTGGAACAGCTATAACTGGGAATGATATAACATTTTATCCAAATAAGTCTAAATATTTGAAGTAAAAGCTTAGAATATTTATCCCTCGACAAAAAGCTCAGCTG